CTCTGCTAGTTTTCTTTCATATTTCTGATATAATTATTCTATGTGATCTTAGATCAGACAAAAAGTCTGCTTCCCTTGATACCCTGTCTGACAGTGACTAGGAAGAAGCGAGCATACAGCGATGCTTTCCTGTGGGTATCCTCCCTCCTTCCAGCTGTCTGAAGCTTATGGCCTTCTCATGCTAGTGGTTCTGCCTGCCTCTCTGTGTGTTTTGGCCTCTCTGTGTGTTTTGGCCTTTGTTTCTTCTAAAGTCAGCTTGTCTAATTTTTAATCCTCTTGTGACAATGAACGCTCCAGTCTGAGCACGTAGCGAACAGCACCCTTTCTTTTTTCTCAAATGTAAAGAACGTATTTCATAGACACTGCTTCTTGTGATGTCTGCTGTTAGTCAGAGCCATTCCTGTCACTTCCCGGTGCGTGTCTGTTGATCTTGCCTCCAAAGAGGGAGGAAGACCTGTTGCTTGATGCTGTTTGCTCATTTTTTCCACTCCTTTTAAGGCTGTTTCACTCTGCTGGTCAGGTTAAAGCCCTGATTAACAAAGATACTTGACTTTTTTGATATTGTATGGTATGTATAATTTTCAAGAAACAATCATTGTGCCTCAAGGCAAAGTGTCTTTGCTAAATTCTGCTGTAGTTGCATGTTCCTGTTACCAGATGACCTGGCAGTTTGTATCTTTGGATAATGCACTTCCCTTTATGTGGGAATGCAGCTGATTTCTCTGGCGTTACCGGGTGAGTGGGACTCTGAGCACGCTGTATAAGTATTCAGAGGCAAGCTTTCACTCGCGGGACGTGGAGTCGGTCTGGGTGGCTGAATGGTTTGTTCTGCCAAAGCCGGAGGAGAAGACCTTTTGGACAGGGCTGGTACTTGCATTGCAGGATGGTGGCATTCGGCTTACCATGCCAGCAGGATGAGCTTGTCTTTGGCTCACTCTCAGCTGGTAGTGCTCTACCCCCTCCTACACCCTGTCCCCTGCTGGCCCTTCCTGAGGGAGCCAGGAGCTAGTTACCTGCAGGAGCTCCAATTCAAGCAAGCGTGTAAGCACATGCTAGAATCCCATTGATGTCAGTGAGACTTCAGCAGTTAAACATACGCTTACAGGGTTTGCTGAAGTGTGGCTTAGATGCGGATGCTGGCTGCCAGATGTGCTCTTGGAAGCCTTGGAAGTCTCCCTGGTGTTGTCACATTTACAAGCTACTGTCGGCAGGAAGCCTACTGGACATGTGTGATGCGTCCTTCTGTATTCAGAGGGAAGGCATTTCAGGGAGAACTGATGTGAACCACCCAGCTGCCGTGCAAACGTGGCCAGATCCTTGCTAGAAATGGGCCGCTTTGCTGAAAGGAGGACTTGTAGGGGCATAAGTAAATCCTGCACCTTCATGACTTTTCTTGCTGACCTTATGATGCGCAAAATGCGTATGACCTTTGTTGCTGTTGGAACCCTTGCTTGTTTTGTGAAAAATTACAGTTGTATTTTAACCTCTTGTGCTTTGAATTGTTTAATAGGCTTTTAAAAAAAGGTCTTGTCTCTTGCGCTTGCCTCATACTTGCAACTTAATGTGCCTGGTAAACTTTATGCAAACAGGATATGGAGCTGAAACCCAGATAGAATTACTCATTCAAATTTTTACCTACTCCTGTACTGTTTGGAGTTTACAGTACTGTATTTGAGATTAAAGTCTATCTGTAGGAGCATGCTAAAATATTGTTGTTTTGTTATCAAGCAGGATACCAAGAGGGTTTAAGGTTTGGGGTTTTTTTTTAAAAAAAAAAAGCATCTTTATTGAGTTGTGGTAGATGTGCAAGCTTTTCTTTCTGCATTTACTAGCAGGATTTGGAGTTGTTGCAAAGCAAAATCCCAAGCGGCCTGTGTCCAAATAGTTATAGTTGGGGTTTTCTGGCTAGTGACTGGCTCGTGAATGTTGTTAAATTGATTACAAGATATCTGGGTTCTCTGTAAGTGCACTGTATTGTTTGTGGAAAGCTTGATGGGAGCAGTGTTTCAGCACTGGGAAAGCAGACGTCAAAAGCTGCAGTGCCAAGAAGTGAATTCCTTTAAAGGAGACCTCCTGGGAGCTCCTGGCTTCGTCCTCTCCAGCAATTCAACACCGTGCCACCAAAGCATGACATTAGGTTTCCCTTAAGTACTTGGGTGTTTCTCTCCTTTCCCAACAAAATCACATAGTGCTTGCTTCTAAGCTAGTACTGGCTTAGTGTAAAAATACTAACATTCGTGCTTTTCATGTGTGAAATTGAATAGGAATTAGCAAAGAAATAGCTGGAAGAGGGAAAACTTGCTGGAAATGGGAAAACAAGCTTTCTGTTCTGCTTGATTACTCATTCACAGATCTTTCAGGATGAAATTTTTTGAATATTGAACACACTGTGGATTGCCATTCTTTTTGGAATATATTTTAATATTATCACTGAATGCTGATAAAGGCCTGAAATAGATGGAGCAGTTTGACAGCTTTTCTTCTGCAAATAGGGCACTGTTACAGAAGCAATTGAGGTCTCAGTGTGCCTCAGCATCCTGCCTGTACCTTGCCTGCATGCAATATTTGTACTATGTGAAGTATCTGAGATCACGTTCACTGTTGGGTTTTCCTTAGAGAGTGCCAAGAGCCAAGTGGATGAGTTTTGTAATATCCTGGGTGTGCAAGTATCTTGTGGCCATTCCTGTTTCAGGGAGGTAGCTGTCAGCATGAGTGGAAGATGCATGATAGCTTAATGATAGCGATGTGGCCGTGATGCTAAAACTGTGGGTGAAGCAGGCTTTGTAGATGGGTGCGATCTCTTCTGGTCACTATTCAGTGCTGCTATTTTAAAAATCAATTAAACCTTTCTGGAAAATATTTAGCAGTCCAGGCAGGGAGACATTCTTGTCCTAGTAAGGACTGAGATAAACTTCCAGATACTCCTGGTTCATGTGTTATCCACAGTAGTTCCTTAAAAATAATGAAATCTTGCCTTCTTTTGAGCCTTTTATAGAGCTACATCTGTCCATGGGTCGCCTTAGTCAAATAGAAGTCCCAGAGTTTGATGCCATGACAGTGTGTGGAAGAGGGGAGCAAGGAGAATCCAGCAGCTATGGCTTCAGTCTCAGTGAAGGGAGACCTGTGGTTTGATTTATTTGCTTTTTTGCAGATTGCCTGGGACAGATTTCCTAGTGTTGGTTTCAAAGTGTCAACTTCAGACAATCAGCTTCAGGAGTTCAGCTTCGGATGAGTAAGAGAGCTGGTGCTAGGCATCTGGGCTTCACACACAAGCAGGGAAGAGGGAGTGCTGTGAAAGACTGTGTTAATGCTCCTAGGCTCAGAGTTAGGGACTGCCTGGGGCTTGCTGGGAGATCCTAAGCATGAGGATTTGCAAAGGCTTCTTGCTTCTTAGAACTGAGGTGTTGGATTTAAGTCTGCACACTGGGACATCTCTGTCAGCTCAGAATTCAATCTCCTTTAAAAGTAAGCCATGAGAAGAGGGGAATGAGAAAAGATAAGCAAAAGCATCGCCCATCTTTTGCACTGAAGCAAGAACATGGGGAGCAGAGAGTGTGTGGTTTGTGGCCAGGAAGAGTGCAACTAAGGGGAAGCTTCGTTTTGTTGCTTGGCAATTAGCACAGACACTTGAAAAAAGAAAACCTGCCTTCCCATCCTGTTTTTTTATCCAATTACTGCAGAATGTAAAATGAATAAACTCTCATGGGAGGAAAGACCAGAATGGGGCCTTTCCTCTTTCAGCTAGCTGTCCTACCTGCTGGAGACAAGTGTGAAGGTCGTGAATTTGCCTTCCTTCGGGGTAAGAGTGCAACTGAATTTAGGATCTTCCTTGTTCTGCTTGAGTGCTTTGCAGCGTGGGCTCGTTGCAAAAGGGTGGGTGCTACCAGTGATTCCACTTGCTCTTCCTCCCATGTTTTATAGTGATCCCAGTGCTGCCATAATGGGTTAGGTGTGCTGAGAGCACAGCTGCCTGGTCAGGGATGCCCTGATGCCTGTTTGTGTCTGTAGCCTGGGTTTGATTACAGCATAGTCGAGCTGGGAAATGGCAGGAGGCCACAATGGCTGTGTAGGCATGGGTGCCTCAGCCTTGGCACCCAAGCACTTGACAGGTGAGGTGCACACTAAAAGGTGCAGTGGTGTCATTCATTATAATGTTTAAGGACATAATTTTTGTATTAAGTCTAAGCTGGTGGGTTTAGGTTCTTTGACAGTGCCTGGAGAAATGTCATCCTCTTGCTTCTCGTAGGATGGGAGTGCCTGTCTATCTTGGGTGACAAATGACCCTTTCAAACTAGCCACAACTTTGACACAGTTACATTAAGCAGGATGGACTCCGTACCACTGGCTGGAATAAAGATGTTGCTGGAAGAGAGGAATGTGAATTCTTGGAGTCAATCGCCTCTCGACAGAGCCTCCTGCGGGTCTCCTCAAGAACATCCCCAAGCATTTCCTGGGAGTCATTCCTAGTGTGTGCTGGTGGGTTTGGTTGTGACCTATGACCTCATTAACGCAAGGCTTTGCTCTGCTTTGATTCCAGGTCGTCAGAGCTGCTGAAGAAGCTGCTTCCACCCTGGCGAGTTCCATCCACCCCGAGCAATGCATCAAGGTGCTTTGCCCCATCATTCAGACTGCAGACTATCCAATTAACTTAGCTGCCATCAAAATGCAGACAAAAGTCATCGAGAGGATTTCCAAGGAATCGTTGCATCAGCTCCTTCCCGATATCATCCCTGGGTTGTTGCAGGTACAGAGTCCCATGTCACAAATACTCCCGAGCGCAAACCACCATTGAGTAATTTGTGAGGGCTGTGACCTGAGAGAGAACAATGGACCCTCTGGGAGGCCAGATTTTGGTGAATTAAAGTTTTAATCCCTCCTAAGTTTTCTTATATCTGAGCTTTTGATGTTTTTAACCTTAAGGAAAAGAAAACTCTGGTTTTTATGTGTATGTTCCACAATTAGATGCCTTGGCCTGACTCCTGAGTAACCTGGTAGCAGCCATGTAATAAATTTGAGAGTAGGAGTTAGCCACATCTTTCACTGTCTCAGTACATCCCAAGCACTACGTCTTGTAGTCTCCTTTAATTCTGCTCAGCTGTTCTGTGCTTTGATTGTACTTTGCACTTGAATTTGAATCCCAGCAGGCAGGCTGGTCCTTCCCTCTTTCCTCTCCGAAATCAGGACCGAACTACTTGCTGGCTTCATTCAGCCTCTTTCATAAGTTATTTCATCGATGATAACTTTCTGATGCAAGTGATGGAGGAACCAACAAGGAAAGGTGCGCTGCTGGACCTTGTGTTAACAAACAAGGAGGGACTGGTGGAGGATGTGAAGGTCGGAGGTAGACTCGGCTGCAGTGACCATGAAATGGTCGAGTTCAGTTCAAAATATTAAACATATTAACAGTAGACATGTATAAGTAAAATGGGAGATGATTCCTTTGGCCAGTCAGAACTCACTGGAGAGTGAAAGAAAATTCATATATTATATATAAGCTTTAAAAAATTCACGCAGAGAGGGTACTTCAATTTTTAAAAATCTCATTAAAAGTATTTAAATTTTAATAAATATTTACCACATGGTTATCTCTTCAAGAAACCTTTATTGGACTGCACAAGTTGGAAAAATGTTTTTCATTACTTCTTCGTCATCAACATGTTCTCTTCATTTATCACATTTACTTGTGGACATGAGGTCAACATGACCCAGCAATGTGTGCTCACACCTGGAGTCCTGTGTCCAGCTCTGGTGGAGCCCTCAGCACAGGAAAGACATGGACCTGTTGGAGTGGGTCCACAGGAGGGCCACAGAAATGATCCGAGGGATGGAGAACCTCTGCTATGTGGAAAGGCTGAGAGAGTTGGGACTGTTCAACCTGGAGAAGAGGAGGCTTGGGAGAGACCTTCTTGTGGCCTTTCAGTACCTAAGGAAGCTTATAAGATAGATGGGACAGACTTTTTATCAGGGCCTGTTGCGATAGAACAAGGGGTAATGATTTTAAACTAAAAGACAGCAGATTTAGACTGGATATAAAGAAGGCATTTTTTATGATGAGGGTGGTGAAACACTGGAACAGGTTTCCCAGAGAGGCAGTAGATGCCCCATCCCTGGCAACATTCAAGGCCAGGCCCTGAACAACCTGATCTAGTTGAAGATGGCAAGGGGGTTGAACTGGATAATCTTTAAAGGTCCCTTCTAGCCCACACTGTTCTAAGATTCTGGTTCTATGATTCTGTGATTCTACTTGTATCTTTAACCTAAATGACATTTAGTAATTCACTGATGTCTCCCCACACTAATAGGGCTTTTTCTTCTTGGATTCTAATCCTACTTTTTAGTCCTTTCAGAATACTTCGCATTAACTTCGCATTTTTCGACACAGTCTCCCATGATATCCTCCTGGGGAAGCTGAGGAAGTGTGGGCTGGATGAGTGGTCGGTGAAGTGGATTGAGAACTGGCTGAATGGCAGAACTCAGAGGGTTGTCATCAGGGGCGCTGAGTCTAGTTGGAGGCTGGTGACAAGTGGTGTCCCTCAGGGGTCAGTACTGGGCCCAGTCTTGTTTAACTTCTTCATCAACGACCTGGATGAAGAGTTAGAATGTACCCTCAGCAAGTTTGCTGACGACACCAAACTGGGAGGTGTGGTAGATACACCGGAAGGCTGTGCTGCCATTCAGCGTGACCTGGATAGGCTGGGGAGGTGGGCAGAGAGGAACCTGATGAGGTTCAACAAGGGCAAGTGCAGGGTCCTGCACCTGGGGAGGAACAACCTCATGCACCAGTACAGGCTTGGGGTGGACCTGCTGGAGAGCAGCTCTGCGGAGAGGGACCTGGGTGTCCTGGTGGACGACAGGTTAACTATGAGCCAGCAGTGTGCCCTGGCTGCCAAGAAAGCCAGTGGGATCCTGGGGTGCATCAAGAAGAGTGTGGCCAGCAGGTCGAGGGAGGTTCTCCTTCCCCTCTACACTGCCCTGGTGAGGCCTCATCTGGAGTACTGTGTCCAGTTCTGGGCTCCCCAGTTCAAGAAGGATGAAGAGCTACTGGAGAGAGTCCAGCGGAGGGCTACGAGGATGATGAGGGGACTGGAACATCTCCCCTACGAGGAGAGGTTGAGGGAACTGGGCTTGTTCAGCCTGAAGAAGAGAAGGCTGCGAGGGGACCTTATAAATGCTTACAAATATCTGAAGGGTGGGTGTCAGGAGGATGGGGCCAAGCTCTTTTCAGTGGTGCCCAGTGACAGGACAAGGGGCAATGGCCGCCTGGACAAGGTCCTGTGCAGCTTGCTGTAGGTGACCCTGCTTGGGCAGGAGGGTTGGACTAGATGACCCACAGAGGTCCCTTCCAACCCCTACTATTCTGTGATTCTATAACCCTCGCAGGCTGGGTGGGGAGCTGTGTTTTTGCCAGTGCTAAGGATTGGTCTTACATTGTGACTTTAGCTGTCAGTGCTGGCTATTGCGATGTCGTCTTCTGCTCCTCCAACCCCTACTATTCTGTGATTCTATAACCCTCGCAGGCTGGGTGGGGAGCTGTGTTTTTGCCAGTGCTAAGGATTGGTCTTACATTGTGACTTTAGCTGTCAGTGCTGGCTATTGCGATGTCGTCTTCTGCTCCCCTGCACAAGCAGCTGGCAGTGCCAGCGGCTGGGAGGAGGCTGCAAGCAAGGAGGACATAAGGGGAGGTAGCAGCGAGGGAGGAGAGAGAATGTGCGCGCGTGTGTGTGTGTGTTTACTGTGACAAGAACAAATCGGTCAATGTGAGAGGGGAGACATGTTTGGATGGGTAAGACTTCAGTGGAGAACTGGGATAAAGAAGCCTCCTGATTGTGACTATAAGAAGTTGGAAGGACAAGAGCAAAGTCAGAAATTCCCCTTGTGCATCCCAGCGTTCGTCCCAACTTTGTAGTGTCAGCTCGTGCAATTATCTTCTTGAATCTCAGCTTCTGGGAATCGGACAATTCTGTATTGATATAAACTTTTGCTGTAAAAAGTTTTTAGCCATTATTGTTGGAGTCAACCACCTGAACAGTGGAGCTTCAATGCACCGGGAGAGTTTCGGAGCAGCATGTCTTTAAAAAAGCAGTTATTTGTTTAGTTAGACTGCTTCTGTGTCTTAAAACTGATCTTGTTTCGGAGCCTAGTTTGCCAGTGGTATTTCCTCACTGCAGAAGCTCATAGTGATTGAAGGAATCTAGTTCTCGCATTTGGGAAGTGTTTTGGGATCCTTCTGGCTGAAGGACTATGTGCAGAGGGAATCACCTGTGTGCTTGTTTACCATGCTGAGGGTACTGGCAGATGGTGGAGAGGAGCGTTGGGCAGCAGCAGCGTGAGCACAAGCGTGCAGCTCGGCAGCCCAGAGTGGGATCCCCGTGACCCCCATGAGCAGATGGGGATCCCCACGCAAGGTCAGGGCTTGGCTGAGGAGAGGCGTGGAGCTTGCCCCAGTCCCAGTGCGGAGCCCTGGCTCCCTTGGAGCTGGGGGGGCAGAGCTGGGCCTCAGGGCACTCGCCCATGCGCTGCGTCTCGATAACCTCAGGCCAAAGAGAGCTTTGAGGCCATGTCACTCCTGAGCGAATGCTGTAACCGTTGGGTTGTGTCACTAAATGCTGTGAGAAGCAGCAGCCGCTGCCTTGCAAGCAAGGTGTGAAATGGAGAGGTGGGGGGACCGTCCTGTGGGTGCCCATGGAGCCGGCCCTGCCAGTCCAGTGCCTGCTGGCACACAGCCCTCTCGCGCCTCAGCGCCGCATGGATCTGCCTTCCCCCTGTGGTAGCAATTTGGGATGCACACGTAAGCAAAATGCCAGGCCCGTAGGGAAACCTGAGGTCAAGCGGAGTCATCTGGCGATTTCAGGAGCCTGTGAGTTGGGACCCACAGAGAGAGCCCTGTGTCCCAGCTGTCCTCCCAGCAGTGGGTTGTGTCTCCGTGGTTGTTCCTCTGCTGGGAGCCTGGGCGCAGCCTTCTTTCCACCTTGGTCCTCAATGGCTTGGTGTTCCTCTGAGCTCACCTATGTCCCCCGCTTTTCTAGCTGGGCACTCTCTGGGATTGCAGACTGTCATTTCAGGCTGTATTTTGGCCCTGGAGCTAGAGCAGCCCCAGCTGTGCTGGTCCCTCCTCGCTGCTTTCCCGGCAGAGGTCACCCTGCGTTCGGAGGAGCCAGCGTCCCGCAGGCTGACGAGATGACTGTGTCACTCCCGAGTGACGGCGGCTTGGTGAGGAATCGCTGCTGAGCACGGGACTGATGTCACCAGCTGCTGAGTGACCTGGGGGCTGGCAGGAGCTCTCCTGAAGCTGCCAGAGATCTGGCACACCTACAGGGGCCTTTCACCGTGTTCCTCTGTGGTATTTCCTGCCTAATCAGTAACCAAAAAGCTCCAGGTTGCAGAGGCAGCACAGTGTTTTAGGCTTTTCTGAAGGCAAGCTGAGAAGCACGAGGGCTCCAACCAAGAAGTCCTGACCATTCAGGATAGCATGTGGTCATCTGAACTGGACAGAGGAGTGTGTGTATTTTATAGAGTCCTAAGCTCATGTTGGGAAACTGTGTTGTTGCTTAATGCTATAAATAATATCATAGTAATAGCTAATAATATGATAGTAATAACTAATAATAAAAGGAACAAATAGGGGTGTGTACTGGGTGATTCTGTTGTCTCACTCTGTGAGTATTCAGGTTGGAAGCTGTTACGTTACGCAGCGCCTTTCTGTTGATCTGTTAGGTCAGCCACTCTTGCGAAATGTTCATCAGCTCTTCAGTATGTTGCTCTGGAAGGATGTTGGTGAGTGCTGTTTGACCTCAGAAGTGTTTTTTCTTGTTTCCTAGGGTTACGACAATACGGAGAGCAGCGTCCGTAAAGCTAGTGTATTTTGCCTGGTGGCGATTTATTCAGTAATTGGAGAAGAACTGAAACCTCATCTCGCACAACTGACGGGAAGCAAGGTACGAGAGTAATGCGTCTCTGGTGCTTTGGTAGTAGCCAGCTGAATGGCTTGTGCTACTCACAGCAAGACCAGTGGCTTCACGGTAGCCCAGGGTTGAGTTCCCTGTACTCTCAAATCCTGTCTCACCCTGCCAGACACCACTAGAACAGCACAGCACTCGCTCAGCAGTGTGAGCATTTGAAATCCCACTAAGAAAATTTTGATGGGGCTCGGAGATTGGTTTCATGGTGCATTGGATCCTGTGTAACCGCAAGCTGCGGCCGAGCGGGTCCTTCCCACTGCAGCCATGTTTACCTTGCCCCTTTGGCGTTGCGTCTGGGGATGACCATGCAGTGAGCTGGATCAGCTGGCTGCTCTGGCTCAAAAGCAGATCAAATTAATGACCTTTCAGTCCGCTTTGCGGCTGCGCAGGTAATCTAGTGCAAAGAGTGGTGGGAATGCATGGCTGGGGTGGGTGGGAGAGCAGGTCCTCTCAGCAGCAGGTTGTGGTTAGGGCTGGTAGAATTGTAGGTAAAGCTTCACTCTGAATAGCATGGCAGATGTGTCCCTTTCCTCCTGGGACCCCAGCAAGCTCAAGTTACCCTTCAAAGGACTTTGTGCCCTGGAGTCAGGTTAGCAGCAAAACTCAAATTCTGACCTGATGCTGCAAGTGAAACCAAGTCCTTAATTCGGCTCTGTCCTTCAGACAAGAGCTGGCATTTTGTGTTGAAGCTGGCGGCGTTTGATTGCTTTCCAGAGCTGCTCAGGAAGCCGTCACAAGATTTATTCTCCTGTTTGAAGTCATCATACCCAAGACTTCTGTGCAATTTTAAGATGAATTCTGCATTTTTGTTTCAGAAAGAGATCTCTGCATGTGAATAGCTACTTCATTCAGAGGGCTTCATTCTGTTATTTTGAAGCAATAATTTGTCGTAGGTAGGAAGTGTGGTGTAGGCCAAAACAACCTGAGACTGAAAAGACACTTGGATTTTATATCTGAATTGAGTTGCCTTGTCCTTAAACAAATTGCTTCTGCCTCCAAATTGCTGTGGGAAGAGACAGCTCTGGGTGCTGAGGTTTACCTCGTTATATTTGGGCAATTGGGAAATTCCCCTATAAAACACTGTAGAGTCGTTACCCCAGTATCTTAGGTGCCACTCACTCCACCACATAACTAATTGTAAACATGTGAGTAATTCTTCTGGGTTTATGCAGACTGCCTGCATGTTTAAAGTTAAACGTGTGCATGAGTCATTGCAGGATCTGGAGCTAAGGTGGTAAGGCAGAAAAAGAAAAGAAACCCATGCAAAGGAAGTACATAGTCATAACAGCTGCAGTTTGGCCAGATGTACCAACTTAGTGAAGATATTTCAATGCCATTGAAAATGGCCATCTTGCAGAGCATGGAGAGTTCAGGGTGTTTCCTAGGAGCGACTGTGGCTCTTAGTTTGCTGGTGTGCTTGCAGGCTGCGGGGGTTGAGGTCTGTGAACTGATGGCTGCTGAAGTGAAATGCAAGGGATTTTTCTAAATCCAATTAAATCTGTTTGTAACTTCAGTGGGACTAGGCATACGCTCTGCCTCTATCTGTTCTGAAATAGGCTCAGCTTTGCTTCTGCTTTTGCTCCAGAGAGCCCAGTGTCAGCTCACTCAAAACTGAGTTCACCACAGAATATGGGTTTTAAGATTTGCAGTCGACTTCTGTCCGCCTGTTTTTTGTGGCATCTTCTCCTGATGTTTGTTTATCTTTCAGATGAAGCTACTAAACTTGTACATAAAGAGGGCCCAGACCACCAACAGCAACAGCAGTTCCTCTTCAGATGTTTCAACGCACAGTTAATGGAGAGATGTGGACATGTGTAGACTTAGAAGCAATCAACGGTGCCTCTCGGAGACCTTTCTGCTACTCTTCACTGGCGCGCTCCATCAGCTCAAGGAGGCCACGCAGATATTTATTGCAATCAGCATTTTAGTCCCTTAACAGCTTTTATGTAGAATCTTACTGGTATTGAATGTAAAGGAAGCAAGGTCTGTGTTGCAGTCTTCATTGAAAGTGAACAACAGAAAGCCATACTTAAACATAGTTGTATAGCCTGCTGAAATCTCGGAAATATGTTTAGATGAGCGTTCCAAACCTGAGCCCAAGAACCTGGACACGCATAAAAGTCAAACGAATCTTGTTGGTTTGGTTCATACCCAGTTTTGGTTTCTGTGTGCTAGTTACCTGCTCTCTCCTTCTGGCTAGGTTCTCCCCTTACAAGTTTGTGGTCCTGTTTTGTACTCCCTGTTGCAGCTTGCAGGGCTCTCCGTGGGGAGATCTGCGCAGATGTGGCTGTGGTTCCAGCCTCGGATGCTTTAATACTGAGACAGCAAGAGAGTAATGGAAAAGTAGGGTTGTTTTTTAAACATCTGAGTTTTTGTACATGGTTCTTCTGACAGACCTCCAATGGGCTGATTACTCTGTAACCGCTCTCCATCCAGCTGTGCTCTGCAGAACAGCGGGGCTCTTGCTCCTTCCGTCGACTGTGTAAATATTTCTCCCCTCCCAACCCAGTTGGCGCTTTCATATGCTCAAAAGATTCTCCCGGTTACTTGTTACTCCCCAAAGGGAACCTGAGACACAGTTCTGGGACAGATACCTGGAGTGGGACACAGATGGGAGTTAGGTGGGTGGGTGCTGGGTTAGGCTCTGAGCGTGGCCGTGGGTGGGCGGTGGGAGCTGGCAGGGCTGCATCTCCGTGCTGCCTTGTGAGGCTAGCTGCGTTTTTCTTGAGGTCTGAAGCATCAAAAGACTGATCCTGCTGTTCTGGCCAGACCCACTGGTCTTGGGTGGTAAATGGCTTTGTCCCCACAAACTCCTTTGTGCTTTGGGCACAACGTTCATCCCAGAGTACAGAAAGGGTGTCTGAAACTGAGCAAAAAGACCCCATGGAAGCACCTGCTGAGCCAGCTGGGACGGTGCTGGTCGCCTGCTGCAGCTCCTGCCTTGTGCCCCTGAAGAGCCTGCAGTGCTGTCAGCTGCCTTGAGAGACCTCCTCCTTCCCGGCCAGCCCCGTGTACAGCCCTGTGGGGTGCTCTGCGTTTCGGAGGGGTGCAGAGGGCCCTCGCTGGGCACTGCTGTCAGCAGGGTGCTCTGGGTGAGCGTGCAGCAGAGCAAATCTGATGGCACAGACCAAGTGAGAGCCAGACCAGCAGCAGTCAGGTGGGAGAGCCTTCTGTTGGCAGAGGGCGAGCTCCCCGGCCCCTGCCTGTGCCCAGGGCAGGCTGGAGGACGTTAGTGCTGCCCTCGGCCTGGGGCTGCATCCTGGCTGATGGACATGCCCACCCCAGACCTGCAGTGGGTCAGAACTGGGGTTTTGCCCCCGGTGCCAGTGGTGCAAGAGGATGGCGGACCTGCAGCTGTGGTGAGGGCTGTGTGCTCCCTGGCTGCTGGCCATGCTCAGTCTCCCTCCAGGACCCTCTGTTTCCCCTTTGGGGACCTGAAGGGACACCTTGGTAGTGGCTGAGAACGTGAGAGTTTCCAGCACCGCAGCGGGGAGTGTGAAGTCCCGTTGTCCACCCTTTCCATCAGTGCATCGCTGCATGTCTCTGCCCCGAGGAGCTCTGCTGGGAGGCGATGCTTGGTGCCAGCTCCCCTCCCAGTCCCCCCCAGCTCAGGAGGGGCTGGGATGGTGGGGACTGTGTGGGATCAGGCTGCGAAGCTTGTCAGTCCCTTTCCCTGGTGACGTGAGAGCGGAGGAGATGACCTGCTCCTGAGCTTGTCAGGATATGTCCAGGCTTTTGGTGGCTGCAGGGCAAGTTCCTTCATCTTTCCAAAAGAGTGATGCCATGGCAGGAGAAACCCTGCGATCCTGGTGGGTGGAGTTCCCCCAGGGTCCTTCCAGGCTCAGAAAAGCCATCCTCACTAGAGGGAGGATTGGCTGCTCCATGGTTGGTCTCTCCTTTTCTGTGGACCATCCCTTTTCAACATCTTTCAGTATGCTTGTTAAAATATTCTTTTTTTAATTTTTTGGACGATTCAAATTATTTTAGTTGAACATGAATTTATTTTCCCTTCTGAGGAAATATTCAGCCAACTTGTTGGCAGCAGTTAGCTGTCTTGTTTGAATTTTTAGTAGTGAGTTTGGGTTTTTGTTGTTGGGTTTTTGGTTTTTTTTTAATTTGTGTTCTTAACTGCTTGGTATTTATGCCTCTTTCTCCCCCCTTCTCAGTTCAAGATCTTCCAGTTCTGGGGTTCGGAAGGTCAGCATAGCTGACCAGAGTGGTTTTAGTCCCTCCCAGCTGTGACGGAGCTTGGTCCATCACCGTTTGCTGTTTGTTTAGGTTTTTTTTGAAAGGTACACTGTAGCAAATCTCCAGGAATTGAGTTCCTTCTAAAACGATTTTATATATTTTATAAAATCCTGTTAGTATGCACTGAGAGCGAACGCGCTGTAGCGTCCCTGAGCTGGCCCTGACACTGCGGTGGGAGCTCGCAGCTCGTCGGCGGAAGGATGCGTGCAGCCTGCTGCCGCCCCCGCGAGGAGCCTGTGCTTCCCGTGCGATTGCCGCGCTTGGGGCTGCAAACGGTGGAACCAGGCCTTACTTTCTGAATCAGATTCTGTTCTGTTTGTCAACAGATGCTCATTAACGTGCTACTTAGTTTCGTTAGGTGAGTCAGTCGAGGACTGTTCATCCTTTGAGTACTCTAGAAGTATCTTATACCTGTATACAGTAGAGAGCGTTCTGCTTAGGTATTTATAAATCATTGCGTATAATGTACATAGTAGGGTTGTTGAGTATGTTGAACATGACCCAATTTTTCTTTTTTCATGTTTCCTTTGAAGTACTCAAAGGGCTAGCTCTGAATGTCACCTCGCTGATCTCCAGTGGTCGGACTTCAACAAGCTGTACAATCATTTTGTTTTCTCTTCAGCAAGCATAAGGGTCTCTCTGGCTACAGATCACAGTGTCCGCGCACGCTTGCAGAGAAAGATCTGCATGCTGGCAGTGCCTCACCGCACCGGTGAAGCTTGTGTTCACCTTCTTCCGGCAGTAGCCAACTACTGCCACTGCCTTTTTTTTTTT